AGACCACAGAGGAGTAGGAAAAGAAACCCAGAGTACCCCAGCAGGTCAATCAACACCATACACACATACATGGGCATCCCGTAGGTGCACGGCACTTACCTGAGTGGCCTTGAGCTTCGAGATGAAGAGAACTCACCCCCCTTCTCATATGGTCCTCCTGACCCATCTAACGCTACCCCTACACTAGTGTCCTATCTCCTAGGAGGGTCTGACCAAGTGCAACCCCGGATCCCCCGTCGATGCTGAAGAACAAAGTAGCAACTTGCAGTCCGTTGATGCAGAATGGCCACTGACCCTCAAGCTCGCCTTACTTGAGGGCAGCCCTTAAGTTGCCAAGTGTCTCCCTTGACTCAGATTCCAGGTGCGAGTGCCTCTCACTGTCGCCTCTCTCAAATCGCCGCATGAAGTCTCCTCAAAATGTCTCGCCACCCTAATCTCACTCTCAAGCAACCTGGTTAGGTTCTATGTTGACCCCACATGACCTAACCAGGTGGGGGCAGCTTCCCTTAGCCACGCTGCCCCACTTCCCTCAACCATCTAACCCTAACCCTAAGTGTTGCCCTCAACCACTTAGGTAAGGGTTAGGGTAGCAAAGTCAACTCTCACCAGCAAGTAGAATCCGCTCCGATACCAATGTTATGACCCTGGCAAATTTCGAGATACACATCCACTGGAAAGTACAATGCCATCCAATTGCAGAAAGAAATGAATGAACTTGAGAGGAGAGAGAGAAGTAGAAGAAGAAGAAGAAGTAAGAGAGAAGAAGAAGAAGATGTACACCAGCAAAGACAATGACTAGGCTCTTCTTCTTCGCCCAACAATCTCCTNAGTAGAAGAAGAAGAAGAAGTAAGAGAGAAGAAGAAGAAGATGTACACCAGCAAAGACAATGACTAGGCTCTTCTTCTTCGCCCAACAATCTCCTCCTCCTTATCTCCCCCTCCTCTTATTCATACAAGAAATAATAATACAATGTTGAATGACTGGTCCAGAATCATGTCCGAGTCCCTTTTCTACTGCAGGTATCACTCAAGGTCCACCATAGCCATGGCCGCCTTCCCCCACTCTTCACACACATAGGCCGAAGCTATGGCGTACTACTAGGCCTTGCTCCGATGTCCAAAGGACAACACAGAGCAGCTATGGCTGCTCCAGCTCAGCCCGCCATGCCCAGCCCTGCCTTGAAGCTTCTTGGTGTAGCTTCCCCCGGCTGGGGACTCCTTGCAGCAGCGCCCACCAAGGTGATGAAGATGGCTGCCACCATAGCCAGGTAAGTACCCCTGGCGCTCCTCCCCCTTCCTCCTTCCTTCCTCCWTCTTCCTCCCKCTAGTCCTYCTTCTTCCTCCCSAGCAGCGCAGCTYCAACCCAGCGCTGCTCCCTCCAGCGCTCCACCAGTGTGTCGCCAAACTTGCACACCGAAAAAGAGGCCGGGTCTTCCRCCCGGCCGGAAGATATAGCGGCCTGCTTTGCCTCTTGGGCGGTGACTTCCAGGCCGCTGGCCTTCCCAAGCAACCGGTACCTCTTCCTCCTTTTGGARGGAACATCATTGCARACTCTGATATTGCCCCTACAGGCCCTAGACTCAGACTGGWACCCGCTAGACCTAGCCTACACTACCGGCCTCTAAAAATGCCACTTTTGTCTTCTTCTGCTCGGCCTCCGGTACCCGCATATTTACCCCCCTGCCGGGTGCGGTACCGGCCTACCCGCTACTTGAGTGTTTTTTCCCTGCTGCAACCCTTCGAAGCCACGGCCACAGGTAAGTACCGGCCCTGAGGGCCCAACGAACRAACAAGTGCCCTGGTGGGCCACGCACACACACACTCATACCAACCAGCACTCAGACAGGCACGGTCACATACGCAAGCCAACCAGCACTCAGACAGACATGCAGTCCAGCAAGCACACACACACACAGACTTAGCAGGCGGGGAACTCAGTAGGGCATTCAGTCTATGAGCAAAACTCAGAAATCAGCTGTGTGTTTCAGTCCGTGTTTGGACGGGTTATCACAC